AAAAAAAAAAAAGGTCAACACAGACCTTCAACAGTGTCCACCTGAGCTGTGAACCCCAGCCAGGAATTGATGCCACGTCCGTGACGACCAACAAGGAGGGGCCGCGTGACCCTGGCGGCAGAGGGGTGGAGGGACCCAGAACACCGCCACTCCTGGTAGCCCTCTTCAGAGAGTGCTGATAGATCACATGCTTGTCCTGTCCTCAGTTTTAACCAGCTGCTGTGATCAGTGGCAAACCACGTACCGGTGTGCCTCGGTTTCCCCATCTTTAAAATCAGAGGGTCAGACCAAGCAGGGCTCACTGTGGTCTTGTCTTGCTCTGCGGAGCCAGAAGCCAGACCTGGGGGGGAGCCCAGGAACGAGGATAAGAGAGCCTCAGGAGAAACTCTCTCCGCGAACACGCAGACCCGGGGCCCCACTGGTGATGTCGGGCCATCGTGCACCTGTCCTCCCAGCCTCTGAAAGACAGTGTGGCACTGGGTGAAGAGGCCGAGCCCTGGAGCCAGATCTTGCCACTTCCTGAGTAAGCCTCGGCTTCCCTGAGCTGAGAACGACACCCTGAGTCTGGTCTCACAGCCTTCACCTGCCAAAGGTATCGGTGCTTTTGGAGCAAAACAGAGCAACAGGCAGGGTGTGGAGGGAGGCCGGAGCTGGCTGCAGGGAGGACCTGGTGGGGAAACGCAGCCACGGCCCCTGGGTGGGCCCCTCCCTGTGACACTGTGGGAGCCTCGGTCTGGCTCTGCCCCGGTCCCTCCCAGGCCTCCCCAGAAGCCTGCCCGGGAGGGTTTCTGCAAACCCAGCGCTCTCGGGGCTGGAGGGAGGCCAGCCTGCCTCCAAGCACACAGCCTGCCTTTGTGCTCCCCGGCAGCACACCAGTTTTGGGTAGCATCATCGCACGCCCCAACCGGCCCTCCGGGTCTCCAGGGAAGAAACAACTTTTTTCTTGGAGAAAGAGGGAAAACAATCACTTAAACTCACCATTCTGAACAGACTTCAGATACCTTTCAAGGGCTTAATTACTGGTTCTCATTGGCGGTCAAGAGTGGAAAGCAAAGCGGGTCGTCCTCCGAATCGCACGCGCTCTACTCGCTCTCGCAGCGAAACCAGCACGCCGGTGTCAGACCCGCCCGGACGCCGAGTCCCGCGCGGCCCCGCCCCGCCCTGCGCTCGGGAGCAGGAGCCCGGAGCGGACGTTCCGGCCTCGCCGCCGGCTCGGGTCTGGTCCCGGCGGGTCCCGGTGCCGCCGCCCCGGCAGAGGAGCGACGGGGTCCGCAGCCCGCCCGCGCCCGGGCGGCAAAGCCCGCAGCCCGAGGCCTGCAGCCCCCGAGGCGGCGCCGGCCCCGCACCGGCAGAGCCGCGGGCGGAATCGCGCTGCC